ATCGAGCCCCGCATCGGGCTCCCTGCTCCGCGGGAAGCCTGCTTCTCCCTCTCCCACTCCCCCTGCTTGTGCTCTCTCTCTATGTCTCTCTGTCAAATAAATAAAATCTTTTTAAAAATTAATAAATAAATACAACACCATCAGCTATCAAAGTGGCTAGGTGCCACCAAATGCTGATGAGGATGCAGGGACAGTAGCTCACTCAACGCACTGCTGGTGAGAATATAAAATGGGGCAGCTACTCACTCTAGAAACCAGCTTTGCAGTTTCTAATAAAACTAAATCCACCACTACTGTATAACCCAGCAACTCCATGCCTAGGCATTTATCCCAGAGAAATGAAGATTTCTACACATACACAAAACAACTGCACATGAATGTTTATGGCAGTTTCATTTGTAACATCCAAAAACTGGAAACATTCCAGGTGTTAACGGGAGAATGGCGAGGTAGCCTGGGAACCCACACTATGGAACACTAGTGAGCAATAAAAAGGAACAGACTACCAATACACACAACCTGGATGAATCCCCAGAAAATGCTGCTGAGTGAAAAAAGCCAACCCGAAAGGCTACATGCTCTCTGATGCCACATGTAACATTCTTGAAGTGACAAGATTATAGCCACGGAGAGCAGATCAGGGGTTGCCAGGGGTTAGTGCCAGGGCGGATGAGAGTATACAAGGGAACAAGGGGAATCTCTGTGATGACAAAACTGTCATGAATCCTGACTATATCAGTGTCCATATCCCAACTATGATACTGTACGTGGTTTCGTATGATGTTACCGTCGAGAAATGGGTACATGAGATTTCTCCTTAACAAGTACAGGTAAACCTACAATTATCTCAAAGTGAAAAGTTTAATTTAGAAAAACTCTAGCCTGGCCACCTGTCTGGGCCAGTGAGGATTTGTGAGGGGTACCAGATACTCCAGATCAGGGATGAGCAGCAGAATGAAATGGTGGGTCTCTCTGAGGACAAAGTTTCCAGCTACCTAAAGCAGAGCAAGAAATGGTGGTGATGGTACTATTAATGTCCCAAATGACCCCAACGACGACAGCCAGAAATCAAAATTGTTTTACACTCTGGCCAGCCATACCTTCAGTTCAACTGCTGCTCAGAGGACCCACGAGATAATAAAGCTCCATGTAAGAATGTGTCGCGGGAGGAAGTCAGTCACTATACTTACTCCTCTCCACACAGAGCTGAACCACATGACCTCTGAGAGTGCCCTCTACTCCAGAGGTCTTACATGCTAGCGGAAGTCACATCCTGAGGCTAAGTTGGTTCTCTTCATTCAGCCACGGCAGACTAGAGCATGTGGTTCCTTCACCATACATGTCCTGCTTCCAGAGTAAGGTCCATAGGCATGCTGGCTACTCACTCACCTGGGTGGCAGGGTGCTGGACGGCCAGCCCCCGAAGAAGCCTCAAGATAAATGGCAGGGCTGGGCGAGATAAGAACTTTTTCCAGATGTCAGCATCCAGACTGCAAAGGAAAAGAAGCTGATTAGCAGGCCAGAGGAGCAAAGCCTATCTAGAAACCAGCTGTTGATTCTATTCTGGCTTGTTTAAACATGACCCTTCAAGAGAGCCATCAAGAATCACAAAGCATCACCTAGCTCAGCTAGGCAGCCAGACAGAAGTGAGTATTCTGAACAGAAACCAACAAGCTGCCTCCCGTTCCCAGCCCCAAAGGGCTCTGCGGTGGCTGCGTCGTCACCTTGATAGCTTCCGGAAGGGGAGGGAGACACTAAGGAGGGCCAAACGGGACTACGTGAAGCTTTAGGCCACAGCAATGAAGGAGAAAAGGAACCAGAAGAGGGAAGAAAAGCAGCCGCCCCAACACAACTGTTTCTTACTTCTTGGCGCTGGGAATGTGCTTTTTCATATAGTCCAGCGCACTCTGGGTGATTCCCTTCTGGAGAATCAGATCCTTTAGCTGATGCCCATTGCTGCTGTTCTTGATGCCGGCTGCGATCTTACAGAAGCAGTCCAGGAAGACCTTATCATCGCCGCTGTGGTCTTCATCATACCTGCAGCAGAGAGCAGAGCCCCAGGGTGTGAAGGAGAGGACACACATGTATCACGTTGTTCTCTCGGTTAACAATCTTCAACAGTCTACAAGATCAAGTCTAGACTTCTTGGCATGAAACGAGCCTGCTGATCTGGTTCCTGCCATTCCTCCTTACCTGCTACGTCCCCCAAACTCCCAACATTCTCTCACGTTTTCATGCTTTTCACACTTGACTCTCTCCATCTTGTCATGCCCCTGTCCCATCTCACCAGCCCCTTCACTCCCCCTGCCGAGCCAATGTAACACAGCATACTGACTCCCCACTTACAATGAACCCCTTAAAGGCCAGACACATACACGAAAATTTAACAGAAATTGTGGTTCTTCCCCTAAGTCTCACAGAACTAGCTCAGAGTATTGGTGAGGACCCTCACGTAGCCATCTGAAATCCAAGCACATACTTGTCAAAGTTACAGTATGGCTTGAACCGCTCCACCAAGATCTGCATTTTCTCCACCTCGCCAAAGGAAAGGTACGGGATGATGCGCAGCAGGCCCTGGAGCACGCTAGGGTTGGAGCGAACAAAGGTGCTGTTAATCTGGTCCAAGAGCATCACAAGCTGATCTTTGTCACCCGTCAGGAGGAGGTTGCCCTGCAGTAGAAAAAGAGGACAGAAGGCTCAGTAACTGGGTCAGGACTTTGGTCAGCCGATATCTGAACCCCAGATGTCACCCACTTCCATCAGAAGCAGCCCTAGAAAAACTGTCTCAGCACTTCCTGCAGAATAATGAACAGTGTGAGTTCCACCTGATACTAGTTTCTAAGTTTCTGTGTGACTCTGTTCATAGTGTCAGGTAGTTAAAATGTTAACACAAACTCCCCTCCCTGAAGAGAACGCAGGCTGCCTGATACTTGGTCACACCTCTAGCCAAAACATTGAGTACCAACAGGGACAGGAGGAGGCAAGGGTGCAATCAGTGGAGAGAAACTGAACCAGGGAGTTGGAGACCCAGGTTCTCGGCCTGATTCTGCCAGCAGCCAACTACGGAACACTGAACGGCTCCCTTTACTTCTCTGGGCTTGGAGTTCCCTCAAGTGGACAATGAGGGGCTGGGCTAAGGCCCTGCCTATCAGCTGGAACATGCCAGCATTCCATTAATGAGCAGCTTGTGAGTGAAAGAATATCCTCAGCAGCTTCGTTTCCTCCGAATCCACAGACTTCGGGCTTCAATGCCGTCATGTCACCATTAGCTGAGCTTTGTCATTTCTATGACCAAAACATGTTCAATCATTCTTGGTGGACACATCTGGACACACAAACAAGACTGCTGCTGGCAACAAGACACAGTATGTGCTCCCGGTGTCTGCAGATGGACAGACTGGCCCCACGCACCTTGTCCTCATTCAGGGGCTCAGCGTTGGATTCATCCAGAATGATCTCCATGATGCTAAGCACCTGCTCGGCCACAGCTGCACCACCACTGTCCTTGCTTTCTTGCTCAGCCACCAGGGCCTGTCGGAGGAGACCCAGTTACTCTGGGAAGAAGACCACAACCACTCGTTGCTGATGGAATCTGTTCCTCACCAATGTCCTTCATGGCCTTACTGCCAGAGACGTGTGTGACGTGTGTGTGCACGCGCGTGTGACGTGTGTGACGTGTGTGAGCACGTTTGTGTGACATGTGTTCGCGCATGTGTGCGTGCGCATGTGTGTGTGTAGAGAGAGACAAGTGTGTGGACTTCTGCAGACAATGAAATCATGCTGTGTGTGTGTGTG